TTTCAGAATGCCATACCGGCTCAGATGTTGCCCGGGTTAACAAGGTCTGCGCTAGATATTGGAGTTCCTGGATATCTGGTGAAAAATGGGTTACAGGACTCAGGACTGTTGGCTGAGCAACCAGGGCCAGCAGCTGCAGAACTACTGGAAGAAAAGGTGTTTACCCGTCGCAGATACACAGTGATGGAAAACAAAGAAATAATGATCTGTTACTACAGATCAAGTCCAACAAGAAGAGGATATCTAAAACGAATGCACCAGTTCTGGAAAGAACAACATCCAGAATCAGAAATAACAGAACAGAGACTAGCAGATCAACGCCGATTTATAACACGAAATAAAGTATTCACAGAAACAGAATTGGACGAACTGCAAAGGTTTACCCAGGGCAAAGAAATCAAAGCCTTACCAGAAGTAATTCAGAATGTAGAGGCAAACCAGGGGGAGTTGGCAGTGAAAGAATCCAGTAGAGATATACAACTGTTCTCATTTGGAAACCAGGCACCTCTTCCTCAGAAAGAACAAAACCCTCTAACTAAAGAAATAAAAGAATTGAAACAAAGAATAACTGAGCATCTAGAACAGCACAAAAACAACAGAATAAGGCTGCCTGCATTGAAGCTTGTTCCAAAGAAACAGCTAGCACAAGCATTAAAAGATGCAAATACTGCAATAGCAAGTATAAGCACCAATTCACTGCAAGAAACAAACCAACTAATGTACAGCACAGCTGCAGTTATAACAGAATACCTGGGATGCAAAATCAACAAAGAAGAAAAACAAACAAACAGTGCACCAGAAAAATGGAAGGTTAGACTAGAAAATAAGATCAGCAAGTTAAGATCACATGCAAGCAAGCTAGAACAGATGAAAGAAAAGAAGCTGAAGAACAAGAAGACCAAAGAATACCTAATCAAGAAATACCACTTAGAAACAAGGAAGATCAAGGAAGCACTGGAAATAATAAAGCAACAAATAACAGCTATAGCCAGGAAAATTAGTAGATATGAAGCTCAAATTGCAAACTATAGGCAGAACCTCCAATTTCAATCCAATCAGAAACGTTTCTACCAATCCATCAATGGAGAAACTACAAGGAATCAGTCAGTACCTGACAAGGAAGAAACAGTGCAGTTCTGGAAGCAGATATGGGATAACCCAAAGAAATACAACAAGGATGCGGCTTGGTTAAAAGAGGTGGATGCAAATAAAACAGAAGTTGAAATGAAGAAAGAGACCGAGGGACTAATTCTGGCTGCACAAGACCAAGCCTTAAGGACAAATGCATATAAAGTCAAAATTGAGAAGACAGCAACAGACAGTAAGTGCCGCCTATGCAAAGAAGCTGAAGAAACAGTGGACCACCTGGTAAACTGTTGCAAGAAGATTGCACAGACTGACTACAAGCAGCAGCATGACAAAGTAGCAACAATGGTGCATTGGAAAATCTGCAAAAAATATCATTTGCCTGTAAGCAAAAACTGGTGGGATGATAAAATAGAGAAAGTGATAGAAAATGATAAAATTAAACTGCTCTGGGACTTCAGAATTCAAACAGACAAGCACCTGCAACATAACACCCCAGACTTAACAATTGTCGATAAGAAAGACAAAAAAGTCTGGATAGTGGACGTGGCAGTGCCTGGAGATAGCAGAATAGAAGAGAAAGAACTGGAGAAGATAACAAAATACAAAGACCTACAAATAGAAATAGAAAGACTGTGGCAAAATCAAGCAAGGGTAGTACCAATAGTCATAGGCTCCTTGGGTGCAATCCCAAAACAACTGGAGCACCACTTGAACACAATTGGCATTGAGAAATTCACTATCAGTCAATTGCAAAAGGCGGCCTTATTAGGAACTGCTTCCATCCTGCGACGATATCTCTAATACCATCAAACATCCACATCTGCCTATCCCAGGTCCTGGGTAAGGACTCGATAGGTAGACAAAATGCCAAATCCAGTCTGAACATCTGGCTGACTGTGCGATGATCGATAATAATAATAATAATAAAGTTGGAAGGGACCTTGGAGGTCATCTAGTCCAACTCCCTGCTCAGGCAGGAAACCCTATACCATTTCTGACAAATGGCTGTCCAGTCTCTTCTTACAAATTTCCAGTGTTGGAGGCAGGTTGTTCCACTGGTTAATTGTTCTGTCAGAAAGTTTCTCTTTAGCTCTAGGTTGCTTCTCTTCTTGATTAGTTTCCATCCATTGCTTCTTGTCCTGCCTTCAGGCATCTTGGAAAATAGCTTGATTCCCTCTTCTTTGTGGCAGCCCCTGAGATATTGGAACACTGCTATCATGTCCCCCCTCATCCTTCTCTTCATTAAACTAGACATACCCAATTCCAGCAGCCTTTCCTTATATGCTTTAGCCTCCAGTCCCCTAATCATCTTTGTTGCTCTTCTCTAGAGTCTCAACATCTTTTTTATATCGTAGTGACCAAAATTGGATGCAGTATTCCAAGTGTGGCCTTACCAAAGCATTGTAAAGTGGTATTAATACTTCACTTGATCTTGGTTCTATCCCTCTGTTAACGCAGCCCAGCATTGTATTGGCCTTTTTGGCAGCTGCAGCACACTGCTAGCTCATATTTAAGTGATTGTCCACTAGGACTCTGATGTCCCTCTCACAATTACTATTATTGAACAAGGTACCCCCTATACTATACCTGTACATTTGGTTTTGCTTGCCTAAATGTAGAACCTTACTTTTTTCACCATTGAATTTCATTTTGTCGTAGGAGAACCTATATCAGAGGGCCAGGCTGGGCATTTGACCTCTGCTGTCCAGGGCTCTGGGCAGCCTGCACCCCCCCCCCGCATGGCCTGAGAGGAACAGTGCGGCTCCTCCAGGGGACCATGCCTTGGCACTTGCCCTGGTCCTACCCCCTTCTGCCAGAGACTCTCAGATCTGTCCCACTCTTGCCCAGGATCCCACAGGCACCCTTGACATGAATGATATAGAGCTGGCCATGCCCACCCAGTAGGCCACACCATGCCATCCACACCCACCCAGTAGGCCACACCCACCCTGTCCACACCGATCCGGCCCCCTGAGGGCAACCGCAATGCTGATGCGGCCCTCAATGAAATTGAGTTTAACACTCTGACCTATATCATCTCAGACAAGTGTCTGTCCAATCTATTCTTAAAAAACCTCCAGTGATGGAGCGCAAGTTGTTCCACTGGTTAATTGGCCTCACTGTTAGGAAGTTTCTTCTTAATTCCAGGTTGCTTCTCTTTGATCAGTTTCCAACAGTTGTTTCTTGTCCTGCCCTCTAACACTTTGGAGAATAATTAGAGCCCTCTTCTTTGTGGCAGTCCCTGAAATACTGGAATACCGCTATCATGTCACCCCTATTTCTTTTGACTAGCCAAACTCAAGTCCTGCAGCCTTTTTTTCATATGTTTTAATCTCCAGGCATCTGATAATCTTATTTGCTCTTCTCTGAACTTTTTCCAAAGTCTCAACATCTTTTTTGTAGTATGGTGACCAAAATTGGCTGCAATATTCCAGGTGAGGTCTTACAAGGTTTTATAAAGCGGTACTAATACTTCACGTGTTCTTGATTCTATGCCTCTGTTTATACAACCCAGGATTGTATTACCTTTTATGGCTGCTGCTGCACACTGCTGGCACATAGTCAAGTGATAATCCACTAGGATTCCAAAATCCCTCTCACAGTTACTGTTTTTGAGCCAGGTCTCACCTAATCTGTACTTAAACCTTCGTTTTTTTCCTGCCTAAATGTAAAACTTAAAATTCATTTTGTTGGACAGGGCCCATTGTTCAAGTTTGTCAAGATCTTTTTGGATCCTGAACTTATCTTCTGGGATGTTGGCTATTCCTGTTTGCATTATATTGAATTCCAATATGTCACTCTTGCCCAAGTTTCTGGCAACTTCAACTCCCTTTATCTCTTCTTCTCTATTAATAAGAATTAGGTCCAGTGTAGCTTTATTTATAGTTTCCTCCTCTAACTTTTGGATGACAAATTTGTTGGCTAGGTTGGTTAGGAATCTGTTTGATTTCTCACTGCTGAGTTTGTCTCCCAGTTGATATTTGGATAGTTGAAGTCTCACCATTACTATTATGGTATAGTTCCTACATACATTTGTTAACTGGTTAGCAAAGAATCATGTATTTCTTCTGATTCGTTGGGTGGCCTTTAATATACTCCTATGGCAATGTCACTTTTTTTTCCTTTTATACTGACCCATATATACCCTGGAGGGGTTTTTATCTTTGATCATGTGCATTTCTGTAGATATATAGTTCAACTCCATTTCGTCTTTTGTTAGATCTGTTTCTTTTGAATAGTTTGTATCCATCCATCCGTACATTCCAGTCCTGGGTTTCTGTAATGGCAACTATGTCATATTCTCCTCATGTTCTATTGATTCTAGTTTGTTTGTTCTCTAAGCTTTGAGCATTTGTATATAAGCACTTAGGACGTTTATGCCTGTCTGTGCATATGTTTCCTGTGTCTCCTAATTGTTGTTTGAGTTTTTCTTTTTTTCTCATCGCTCCCTACCTCATTGATTGATTTGTTTGGAAATTTATGATTGATTTTGTGTTCTAGAGATTCTAAAGATCGGTCATCCTTCCCCATCAATTTTAGTTTAAAGCCCTTCTAATGAGTTTGGCCAGTTTTTTCCCTTGTACATTTTTCCCTGTCCATGGTCTGGGAAACTAAAGTTTTCTTGACAACACCAACCCTTTAGCCAGTAGTTTATTTCTAAAATTATTTTTCCCTCAATGGGTGTTAACCTTTCATTGGGAATACTGATGAAGAAACTACTTGTGCTCCTAACTCCTTAACTTTATTGCCTAGTTGCTTATAATCTCTCACTATTGTATTCAGGTTCTTTGTTGTATCTTTCTTCCCAATGTGAAGGAGGAGGATAGGGTAGTAATCTGTGGGCTCAGTTATTTTTGATTAGATTCTTAGCCACATCTTTGATTTTTGCTCCAGGGAGACAACATACCTACCTAGATTGTATGTCCTGTCTGCAGATGGCTGGTTCTGTTCCTTTGAGAATAGAATCTCCTATCATCACACTTGCCTTCCTTACAACTGAACCACTGGAGGCAGAATTAACAGGCACCTTTGGAAACTTGTCATTCTGTGAACAGGAAAATTTATTGAAAAAGTTAGAGGATCTTATGCAACTTTAATCACCATGCCAAGACAGCTGCCCCAGAAATCGACTTAATCTCTGTGTTCCATACAGACAGCTACAAAAGCAATATAAATATGAATTCCTCTTCAACACTCCTCAAAGATAGGCAACTAGACTTCCGCTTCCGGATTAGACAGCTTCAGCCACATGAAGAGCTCTCGCTCTTCGATGGCTGCCTTTCTCTCTACCCGTAGACTCTTATGCAGGTCTTAAATCGCCCTGGAGGGGCGACCACTGTCAAGGAGCCTTTTGCTCACCTGCGGTGGAGAGGCGGCTCCCCCTACAGTCTGGGCTAACTCTGTAGGGCTGATGGAGAAGAAGATCGGTCAGTAAAATGGCCGATCACTTCGCTGTGCCAGCTGAAGTCAGAAAATCATCTAAGCATAAAGAACCACCATGATGAATCCGGGTGAGACCTTTCCTCCCTCTCTCCACTCTGAATTACTTTTCTTGCAAAGAGCTTGCTTTTTGGATGACTTTCCTGTTTTGAGAAAGCAGCTTCTGTCTGTTTGGGGGAAAAATAATAATAATTCTTTAAATCAGCTATAGAAATAGTACTCATTATATTTTGAACCTTTTGGATACTGGGCATCCCTGGAAAGATTTCTAATTTAGAGCATTATTTTACTTACTATACTGAAGATATTTGCTTCCTCCGGTCTCTTTCTTAATGAGATAAAGGCTTTTAACATGCAAAAAAAAGTTTTTTATAGCTTACTGAGGACATCTTGTGGCGAAAATAGTGTTTGGAGAACACTACTTCAGGAATTAATAAGAAGAAAAGATAAAGGCTTGGAAACAGCTGTGGTTTGTATTTGTGATTTTAAAATTGTGGAGGCGGATGTATATGGACTCTTAATAAGTATAGTTTCCACAAAAACTTTAAAAGATTCTCTTACTATGGAAATAGAAGACTTTTACCCACAGCTTGACTATGAGCTGATATTGGAAAAAATATTGGAAATGACAGAGGAGATGAAGTTATGGAGAAAAACTAAAGATTATTTTGCAGAACCACAAGCTGAGCCTCAAACTTTAAAAGATCAACCTATAGGCCAAGAAGAAGCCTATATACAACAGTATACACAATCTGAGATGGAAGAAGAAGTTACTGATCAATTGAATTCTGGACTGGATTATGAGCTGATATTGGAAAAAATATTGGAAATGACAGAGGAGATGAAGTCATGGAGAAAAACTAAAGACCATCTTCTAGAATCACAAGCTGAGCCCCAAATTTTAAAAGACCAATCTACAGGCCAAGAAGAAGCTTATATGCAACAGTGTACACAATTTGAGATGGAAGAACTCACTGATCAATTGAACTTTGGAAAAATTCTGGATCCAAAATCCCAGATTGAGACCTTAAATAACTACTCTATAAATCAACTATCTACTACAGAGGAGGATATTTCACAAGTCTCTCTACAAATGGAGAACTCTGAAGATCAAAAAATGACTATAAGTGAAGTTCTGCCATTGCCAAAATTAACAGGAATTGACAGCCAGACGTGATCGATTGAAAATTATGACAACCTGGATAAGCAAGCTGAATTTATAATGTGGAATAAAATGGACTATACTGAGTATATGATACTGAAAGAAGGGGAAGAGAACTTTGATCAGATTGATTTGTTGATAAACATTAGTACTCAAATACTGAGATTTGATGATATAGAAACGACAGTACGGAAACCAGCTTGGTATAGAAAAAAAGCCAGAGTTAGATTTAAAAATGTGATTTAAAATTTTAATTATTGGGTCAAAAAGGCTTTAGAAATTTGGACTGATTGAACAATCTAATCGAGTAAATGAAAGCAGTAAGATAATAATTGGTGTAATAATATGTCTGTCTTAGATACGATATTTAATTTGGTTGAGAATTAAATTTTACTTAACAGGTCGAAATGATTCTTTTTTGTTTTTTTTACTTTGTTTATATAGAAAACTATTTTGTAATAGCAGAAGAATTAGAGAGATCTACGATAAGAGAAGAAAGGGTATTAATTAATGATATATCAAATTAAGAGATGGAATATATATAAAAATATTAGAATGTTATTCTTGGAATATTATGTGTTTAGAAGGGATACCCAAAATTTTATTAATATGTTTGTTTAAGATCAATTGGAATATTTTAATTGAAATTAGTGGAGCTTAAAAGCAGGAGTGATTTATGTAGATGGAATAGTAGGGATGATTCTGTGGATTGATTGAATTTTAAGTAAAAATAAGTAGAACTAAATTTGCTATATTATGTGAGGAAATAGAGGGGGGAATTTTTTTTAAGGTATTAATTTTAGTTATATATATATGACTTGTTTTGTTATGATTGATTACTCTTTCACCATGGTGTTTTCCTGAGTACTTTGATGTTAAAATTAAAAAAAACCCAATAAAATGTCTATTAAAAAAAAGATAGGCAACTAGAAAGACAACTAGTTTTTGTCACTGAAAATTTGAATATATCACTAGGGAATGCAAATTCAGTCACACAAATTGCAGAGATTTCAGATAAAAATTTACTGGACTCCATCTTCACTTAAAGGCAATTTGGATATCTACTCTAGGCTGTTCTATTGCAGAGTGGGCAATGCAGGAGCTGCCAGATATAAACCCCCAATATTTCCCAAAAGTGCCAATATCAATATTTTTTTCTGCCCAAACTGAATGATATTCAACTAATACTTCATTTCTCTGAACATTGCATGATGGAAATCCAAAAGTAGGGATCCTTCATTTTTGGCATATATTTCCAGCATAGGTTTTTTTTTTTTCAGGAAACATGATTGTTTTTACCTTTTAACTACATTGCCACAATGGCTGATTAGTTTTGCTCCATTCAAGCTAAATGGAAATCTCAGCAACCACCAATAATCACCAACTGTTAGAGAGGGACTGGCCAAGTCTCTTTATTCAGTAATAATGAAAGAAAGAGAAGAATAAGGGTATTTGTATAATACACCTCTAGGCTGGAAGTAGTTATCTGAAAGCTCAAACTAGAATGTACTTGTTTCTTCTATTTTTCCAGTAAGATTACCCTGATATCTTTGTTTAGGGTTTAAAATAATGAATTTTCCTTCTTACTTCCCAAATATACTATTGATTCTTTTTTAAATATATATATATATATTATTGATTTTTTAACATAAACACCTTGATATTTGGTAAACAGCATGTTGTCTGGGTTTATGTTTACAAAGTAATCACTAACAGTCAGTTTCTGTATTCCAAAGCCCTCCTAATAGCTTTGCTTGATTTTCTCTTCTTCCAATAATATTTTCTTTGCAACCTTAATTAATACAATTCTTATTAATTTGATAGGTAACAATTAAATATAGAGATTTTTCTAAAATTTCTACCAATAATAATCACATCAATATCATGCTTCTTTTCTATCTGGTCACCTTGGTTGCCTTGTCATGAATCCTGGTTACAATTCTTATTTAAATTTATTTTCCCTACAATGTTCAAAACATTCTTACCGGTTAAAATTTTCCCAGAGTTAATTACCTTAAAGTATTTAAATCTATTTTCATGTCTTAAAAAGTAAGTAAGAAAAAGACGCAAAAACATAGAAAAAGAAAAAATGAGAGAAAAAGAAAAAAAGGGGGGGGGGGAGAGAAAAATAAGAAAATAATATATTACTTAAAATACATATCCCTCTTGAACTAGTATACACTTATTTCCATTTCTTTTCTGTTCTTTTTACCCATAATTAAACCTATGTTTAATCTTTAAATGTTCAATTTAATAAATCCAATCATCTAATCTTTTACTATTCAAAACATTTTTTTCCTTTTTAGTTATCCATTTAGTTATCCAATCCTTTATATTGATCATCCCAAACATTTTTGTATTTCTCATATCAAAAAACAAAATAAAAAAGAGAAAAGAAAAAGTTCTGTCTTACTTGGAGGGTTCATCCCTCTTAAACTAAAATCTTTCTATTTCTTCAACCATATTCAAACAAGTGTTTAATTTTTAAATACTGATTATTTTGTTATTATCCATTTTGAGCCACCCTGAAAGACATTAGTTCTTCTAAAAATTGTGTCTACACTTTGTTTTAGTTTTCTGCTTTAAACATGCGCATTTCTCTTTTTAACTTTGGGACCTCGGTTCACTTTGGGGTTTTAGTTCAAACACTGATTTAGGAATTGCTTAGTCTCCAAGTCATACATTCTGATCTAGTATTAGGTCAGAATCTTCAACTACTTTGATGCTTTTCCAAAGATTTCATTTCTTAAATTATCTTGTTACTTCATGATAAATGAACTATCATATTCATTTAAAAAGGAAGGTTAGCACCTTAAAAATATTTGTTGACTAAAAATCTAAGTTCTATACATCAGCAGTCCCCAACCTTTTTGATCCCAGGGACTGGTTTCATGGAAGAGTTTTTCCAGGACAGGGTAGTGGTGGATGGTTTCACATGCAACCTAGATCCCATGCATGCACAGATGAAGTTTTCCTTGCCCACCTGCAGCTCACCTTCAGCTATGTGGCCTGGTTCCTAATAGGCTGCGGATCAGTACCGGTCCAAGACCTAGGTATTGGGGATCCCTGTTATAAATGGTACGAGGTAGGATTCTGGTATTTCTCAACAAATTTAATCCTAAATATGATTCCTACCAAGCTGAGTTTATGACTAACAACTGTGATAGTTTTATTACTATGTAAAGATTTTTTACCACCTGAATTGCATGTGCTTCTGCTGTAATTTAAATTGATACTCAATTTAATTTCTGTTGTGAAACTCTACTGTGGTAGAATCTCTTTTATTTATATATAAAATATCTAGTAGATATTTTATACAACTCTTAAGTTGCTGACCAGTTTGAGGCTTTCACAAGAAGTTGAAGATATCAATTCTCCAATTTTCATATTTCAATTTCTCTCAGCTGTAATTATTGAAATAATATGTTCATTCACACCAATCAATCAAATCTTAATTACAGTTGTAGAACAGTATAAGAAAGGTGGGATACAAACAATTTAAAAAACTTAAAAACATTAAAACAAAATTACACAATTAAAAATATAAAAAATACAAATATTATTTTAGTATTTAATAGTAGAGAGTAGATACCAAGCTGATTCATTCAGATTTAATATATTTTTGTATGCACATTTAAAATAAATAAATACATAAAAGAATCATATCTTTACAGAGAAATAACCAACAATAAAAGACTGAAATAAAAAGGAACAAATGCAATATTTGTCCAATATTTTCCAATATTATTATCCCAGAATTCTTGTAAACAAATAAATAATATAGTCCTAATTTGTATAAATGTAGGGTCATTTAGGATATATTAATAACACGACTAAACACATCCTGTCCATTAACTGTCCAAAAATTAATACAGGCAGGTTAAGAATAAGATCTGTTCTTAAGTTTGTCTTTACATTGAATTTGTATGTATCAGCCTTCCCAGATATACCAAGCAAGAAACAGATCAGATGACCAAATTCTACTTTATTATAAGCCTATGGTTACAGAATCCTGCAACTACAGATTTCCTACTATCTCTTTTACAGCTGAGATATTAGGGATTCCTTTCTGAATTACTTGTTCTGCTCATTATGCTGCTATGTATTATGCCCTCTCTTATATAAAATTCCCTAGGCAGCATCTCTTCCTTCTGTCTTCCTAAATCAGTGGTGGTGAACATGTGGCACACATGCCAGAAGTGGCACTCGGAGCCCTCTCTGTGGGCACATGCGCCATTGCCCTAGCCCAACCTCCCCCCACAACCCTCTCCTCACCAGCAGCCTGCCTGGAGGGGAGACCCCCCCAGGTGCAGCCTACTCAGAGCAGCACAGCCAAGCATATGGCAGCCAAGCAGCAAGGGTAAGACTCCGCCTTTGTGCCCCATCACATGCAGATGATGCTGCGGGATGTGGGCAGAGGGCATGGCCGCCATGGTGCTGCAAGACTGCCTGGACGATCTGTGGTGAATGGCCCTGAGGGTGGAACGGGTAGAGTGGGGCCGGGCCAGGGGTTCGGCTGATTTTGGGGCATTCGATCTCTAAAAGGTTCGCCATCACTGCCCTAAATCATTCCAAATACCATTACATCATGTAAGTCAAAGCTCATACTTTTGAATGGATTATCTATTATTAAAAATGGTGGTTGGCATTTCATGAACTGCTAAAAACAGGCTATATATTAAAAGTGAGAGGCTTTAGCAGTTCATGAAAACTTTACATGACTTCAGCAGTTTCTTAGCTCGAAGAAGGATAATGCTGTTTGCCATTTTTAATAACAGACAGCCCATTTGTAAATATGTTTTTTGTAAATCAGATGTTTGTATCATGACTGCCAATGTTTAATGACAATTTAACAAATCAATACAGATGACATTCAAGTCTTAAATTATTTACATTTACAATATTTAATTGTTCATAAAAGCATTCATAGTACATTTAGAATGATGATTATCCAAAGCACGTACCAATGAGGACAATAATTCAGAAGCTTAATAATTTGGAAGACAAGAACAGAACAGAAAAACAGAATTGGAAGGGATTTTGGAAGTCTTCTAGTCCAAATCCCTGTACAAGCAGGAGACTCCATACTATTCCAGACAAGTGGTTGTCCAGTCCCTTCTGAAAAGCCTCCAGTGACAACTTCTTAAGGCAAACAATTCCACTGATTAATTGTTCTCACTTTTAAGAAATTTTTCTTAGTTCTAGGTTACTTCTCTCCTTAATTAGTTTCCATCCATTGTTTCTTGTCTTGCCTTCTGGTGCTTTGAAAAATAGGTTGACCCCTCTTCTTTGTGGTAGCCCATTAAATATTGGAACACTGCTGTTATGTTACCCCTAGTCCTTCTTTTCACTAGACTAGACAAATCCAATTCCTGCAACCATTCTTCATATATTTTAGCCTCCATCATCTTAGTTGCTCTTTTCTGCATTCTTTTTGAGTCTCAACATCTTTTTTATAATATGGTGACCAAGACTGTGTTGAAAGAAAAATCTTCAGGGTCTGGTCCATGCCGGGAATAAACAAAATGGAGTCTGTTTGGAAAGAAAGTTCTTTATTGAATTGCCAGAAACTTCATGTGTTTCTGGGATGGCTGATCACATGGAGCTGGGAGTGGTGGGTTTTTATACTTCTTGGGCTTTTGTGTTTGGAGATGTTCCTGTTCCTGTGGCATGAACTTTGAGCTGAGGTTCAGTATGTCCTTTTTGTATTCTAATGGTGGTGGGTTAATCCTATTATGTCCTAAAGGTCATGTCCTGCTTCCCTGGGGCTATGGTTGATGGCTATGCCCTGTGTTGGAGTTTTGGGTGAGGGCTTGCTGGTTCTAATTCTATCACTCTGCTATTGTTAGCTATCAATTTTGCTGCAAAGAATTTCAAAATATTTTGTCTTGAATGGGCTTCTGCCCAGTAGTATTTGCTCATGAATGGGACCTCAATCTTTCTGAATGGGATTATCAAATCTGCATTTCTACAGAGCTGGCCTGCTTAGTTTCTGCTTGGGGCTATTAAGAAAAACTGGGCCTGCTTTTCTGCCTTTAAGATCCTTTGGGGAAATATAATATTCTGCCTTATAATATTCCTCAAAATATTTCCTTCTTGGGGGGGGGTGACTTCCCACAACTGGAAGCAATGTTCTAAGTGTGGTCTTACTAAGGCTTTATAAAGTGGTACTAATACTTCACGGGATCTTGATTCTATCCCTCTGATAATTCAACCTAGGATTGTGTTGGCTTTTTTTGGCTGCTACCATACACTGTTGACTCATATTTAAATGATTGCCCACTAGGACTCCAAAATTCCTCTCACAGTTATTGCTTTTTAGTCAGGTTTCACCTAATCTGTATCTGTATATTTGATTTTTCTTGCCTAAGTGTAAAATCTTTTCTCAACATTTAATTTTATTTTGTTACTTAGGGCTCAGTGTTCAAGAACTGGATCACAGCCTAGACAACGATCTAAGAAAGATCTGAATCCAGAGGTGAGATAAGAGTGGAGAAAACTTCTCAGAAAGGACATAGTACAATAGAAAGTGAAGGCAGAGGATGGGGGAAGTGCTTTCAGACTTGCAAGATTCTCCTACAATAAACTTATAATAAAAAATGGCATGAATATTTTTGATTTGTTTTTTTGTCTGGGACGCCTAGAAAGACAGACATAATTCAAACTCTTCTTACAGTAATTTAGATGGTTTAAAAACATAATTGGCAATAAGCTAATCCAAAAGTATTAATACCCTAATAACTCATGACTTCCAAAAAGAGGATTTATCCGTACTTTTCACAGTGGGATTATCCCAGATTGCAAATCTGTAATTTCACCTAAGTGTCAAAATTCTGCTTTTATTCCAATATCTTTATATTATGTTATACAACCATTAATTCAGTATAGAACTATTGTTAAACCTGGAAACAAGCCACTGCCATGGTATAAGAGAGCTCGCATTTTATGTCCCCCATTTTAACATGGTTATTTGGATTTAATCTATCTATCTATCTATCTATCTATCTATCTATCTATCTATCTATCTATCTATCTATCTATCTATCTATCATCTATCTACACACACACACACACACACACACACACACACACACACACACACAGAGGAAAACTGAAAATCAGAAAATTAAAACCCATAATTGCAATTTAGCTGAAGGAATTTTATGAGTTGATTCGCCCCATAAAAATAATCTTAATATCTTATCAATCTGCTTAAAATATTATAAAGTGATTAAAATTATAAGTTTATATATATAAAGGTTTTCCTTCATTAGCAACCATTTGTTCAATGACTATTCAAAGTTACGATTGCTGAACAAGGAGATTTACAACTAACCCTCAAATTTGCAACTATTGCAATCTCTGAGGTCATGTGATTTAATTTAATAAACAACTTACATATAGTCGTAGTGTTCCATGGTCACATGATCAACATTTGTAACCTTCACTGCCAGGTTCCGACAAGCAAAGTCAGTGACAAAAGTGGCAGAAGGCAGCAAAGGGCAGTCATGTGACATTGCTCTAACAACTGCGCAGGCTTCATGAAAGAACTGCAGTTGGAACTGCTGGAACTACTATTGTCACATGACATCATACTTTACGGCTATGTTGCTTAGGAACAGGGTTCCTGGTCTCTGTTACTATTATTAACTGAGAACTAACTGTACAGTAATTTTTATTTACAGACAGTGTAAAGAATGATGAGGCAGGCAGTAAGGTTGCAGACCTCGTATGTAAACACTGAATAGATGTTTTAGTTTTTAAAGCAAAAGAAAGAATGATATCCAAATATTTATTATTAAATATTATAATATTTAATTATTTAATTTAATTATAATATAGCCATTATTAAAATTTACTCCCTTTAATCTAGTTGTTGAAATGTTAAAAAGCCAGGCGCTTTCTATTTGTTTTACTAATCCCAGAATATATAGAACATAGTAAAGTGTCAAGCACAAGAAATCAGGAATCAGGGTTGTTCAAATGAGTACATGTTTATTCCATGCTGATGACGTGATTGACCCCTCCCTCAGGCTCAGCCTAGTCATCTCCTACAGCTTAATTATTCATGGATAGCTTAACATCCATGCAATTGTAATGTGGGAAGTCAGCCCCCCAGAGAAGGAAATATTAAAAGGGCAGGAAAATATATTTCTTCAAAGGATCTTCTTTTTTAAAAAAAATTTATTTTCCATTTATTCAACATATAAAACAAAATTCACTTTACAAAATAACCATGACCATAACCATAGGTGCCACTTGCTCCTTCCCCCCAAGCTTCATCCACCCTCTCTAATACCATCCCTACTTCCCTCCTCTTTCTCTCCTCCCCTCCTACTCTCTTCCCCTCCCCTTCTCCTCTTACCATTCTACTTCCTCCCTTCACCTTCCTCCCCTCTCATTCCTCTCAAATACAGGAATACAGCATAGGGGAAGTGCCCAAGCAGCACCTCTCTTGTAAATTACCATATCTATATTATCCTATTCTACCTATTTACCCACCCACTCACCCACCCACCCACCCTCAACCCCCCCCTCACTTCCCAGAGCAGAGTACAGGGTTATTAATAACAAAATTAACAATATACAATAAAAAAAGAAAAAAAGAAAAAAGAAAAGGAAAGAAAAAAAATCATGCTTAGTCCTTAACTCCCCTTAAATTATATCATCATAAACAAGTCTCTTATACAACATTTACTATAAAATTTACTCATAAAATAAATGAAACTTTGTAGTCCCATACTTCTTCTGAATATAATCTATCCATTTTCTCCATACAATAATATATCTTTCTTGTGTATGATCCTTTAAATAAGCAGAAATTTTTGCCATTTCTGCAAAATTAGAAACTTTAGATATCCATTCTTCTAAAGTAGGCAAAGAATCTTTCTTCCAATATGAACCTACTAGTAACCTTGCTGCAGTTAATAAATTCAACATTAAAATAGTTTCTTTGTCATCTAAATCCACAAAAATACCCAATAGGAATAATTGAGGAGTAAACTTTATCTTCCTTTTAAAAATCTTTTGAATGTTCCACCAAATCATAATCCAAAAAGCCTTTATCTTTTTACAATTCCACCAAACATGAAAATATGTTGCATCCGTATTACCACATTTCCAACATTTGGGTTGTAAATCAGAGTACATACAAGATAATTTTTTAGGATCTAAATGCCACCTATAAAACATTTTATAAAAATTTTCCCTCAAATTTTGAGCTTCCCAGCCCAAATGAATTTATTGATACCCTTCTGCCATTCCTCCAAATTTACATCTTTTTTTTAAAATAGGTATCATCTGAAACAAGAAAAGAAATCTTGGTAGAACATTCATTTTTACAGCTGAAATTCTCCCCAACAATGACAATTGCAACTTTTTCTAGTCATTTAAGTCCTTTTGTACTTTTGCCCATAATAATTCATAATTATTCTTATACAATTTTCCATTTGAAGCCGTTAAATATACTCCCAAATATTTAACCTTTTTCACCATCTGAAAACCTGTAGATTTAACTAAACTTTCCTTATCGTTAACTGACATATTCTTAGATAATATCTTATGTTGGAATATTCATAAATAGGAAGAGTCAAGTGCTCAGTCAGCCAATGTGAAGAAAGTGCTACTGAGTCTGTGCAAAAAGAGTATTGAGTTAGGAGCTGGATTTCCAATCTCAAGGTTTTGTCTCTGGTCTGTCTCTGTAAGAAGACTTCATTGCTGTAAAGAAGAATGGTATTGTAAATATTTTTATATAAATATAAAGTTATTTGAATCAGCTAAATGCAGTGAACTGTGAGAGCTTCTGATTTATTTTTTCACCAATAGAGAAATTTAAAATTCTCTAACATCTTAGTCTTGTGATTATTAACTTTAAACCCAGAAACTTTCCCATACTGTGTTATAAGTTCTAATAGACAATCAACCACTTGAGTCGGTTGTTCCAAAATTAAAACCAAATCATCCGCAAAAGCCCGCAATTTATACTCATTCTTTTTTATCTTTATACCCTTGAGTACCGTTGATTCTCGAATCTGAATCAACAAAATCTCCATTGTTAAAACAAATAACAATGGAGATAATGGACATCCTTGTCTTGTTCCCTTTTCAATATTGAAAGTCTCAGTCAGTCCCCCATTAACAACAATTTGAGCAGATTGTTGCTGATATATAGCTTTAAGTGCATGTAAAAACATATACCCAAAATTCATTTTCTCTACCAATGAGAATAAAAATTGCCAATCTAATTGATCAAAAGCTTTCTCAGCATCCAAAAATATAAAAGCCACAGGAATCTGATTGTTCTTATCCAGATACTCAATTAAATTAATAATTTGTCTTACATTGTATTTCATATATCACCCTGTTATAAATCCTGACTGATCACTGTGGATCAAATCCTTCATAACCTGCATTAGTCTGTTTGCCAAAATTTTACAGAAAATCTTATAATCTACATTTAACAAAGATATTGGCCTGTAATTCTTAGGCTCTGTAAGATCTTGATCCTCCTTCGGGATCAATGTATAAACGCTCTTCTCCAGGAAAGGGGGACTTGTGCTCCCAACAAAATACTATTAAACAGCTCCTTTAATTTCTTCAGATAAGATTTTATAATACATTGACGTCAATCCATCTGTTCCTGGAGACTTTCCCACCTTTAACTGCTTAATGGCTAAACCAATTTCCTCCACAGTAATTAAACAATTCATCCCATTTTGTTGTTCCTCAGAAAGTTTAGGAAAGTGTACTGATTGTAAATATTTATCTATATCCATTCCTTTTATATTATCACTTGAATATAATTTTGTATAGAAATTTAAAAAATTCTTTTTAATCAAATTATGCTGAAAAACATCAGTACCTTTATATTTTACTTTCTCTATAATCCTAGCCTTCTGTTTCTTTCGTAATTGATAAGCCAACCACCTCCCAGGCTTAGTCGCATTACAAAAAGTATCATGTCTCATATAAAGCAGATTGGTAGCCACCTGATCTGCCATCAACATATTAAATTGTTCCCTAAGCATTTTTATAGAAACCTTTAACTTATTATCGGTTGATTAAGAACAAGAGCTTCTTCTTTTAATTTAATCTCTTCTTCTATTTCTCTATGTCTTTGTAACCTTTTATCCCTAAAAACTTTATTTAAATGAATCAAAATTCCCCTCATGTACACCTTACTGGCGTCCCAGACCATGGGCATCGATGTACCCGTACTCATATTTAAAGCAAAAAACTCCTTCAGAAACTCTTTACATTTTGGTACAAACTCTTCCCGAGTAAACAAATTCTCATTCAGTCTCCAGGATCTTCTATTTCCATCTTCCAAATGTAACTCCATCCACACCGGACTATGGTCAGACAAGGTCCTAGGAAAATTTTTTACCTTCTTAACCTTAGAAAGAAAATCATTAGTAATAAAAAAAATCAATCCTTGAAAATGACTGGTGTCTGTCCGAATAAAAAGTAAAATCTCTATCACATGTATTCCTTTCTCACCAAATGTCAATAAGTTCCAACTCTTCTTTCAAATCAAAAAAAGTTTTGGGTAATTTAGTTTGAGTAAAAGTTTTAGAAGAACTCTTTTTATCTATCATTGAATCCAAAACTCCATTCCAGTCTCCCATCAAGATTACAGATTTATAATCCAACTGAGATATCTTCCCATGCAAAAGCTTTTAAAATTGCTTCTGTTGTTGATTAGGGGCATATAGTCCAACAATGAGAACTTTCTTGCCTTGTAATAGTAACTCCACAAAAACATATCTTCCTTCCAAATTAGCCTCTATTAATTTAGCCGATAAGTTTTTCTTCACATAAATTACAACACCCCCTTTTTTCCCTGGAGCTGGAGCCATAAAATGTGATCCCAAACGAAAACTTATCAAATATTTTGAATCCTTTGAAGTTATATGAGTCTCTTGCAAGCATATTAAGTCATTGTTATGTTCTTTCAAATAGTGGAAAACTTTTCTCCATTTCTGTGGTGAGTTTAATCCATTAACATTCCATATCAGGAACTTTGCCATCTCCACCAGCCTGAAGCCTCTGAAGCATGGCCTGAAGATCAATTGTCGAAGATCTTTTAGGTCTTACCCCTCCCACAGGTTCTGTAGTAACCATTCCTTCTACTTTATCACCACTCTTCTGCTGCTGCTCTTTTTCTTTACGTTTGTGGGCAGCTCGTGTCATCCTTTGTTCTTTTATCTCAACATTCTGTGCAGGCAACATCGCTTGTGCCATAACCATCCATGAAGAGGCTCCTGCCATAATAGGCTCTTCAATTTTCCTTGTTTGTGAGGGTGAGGATGGTCCTGCCTTTAAAATAGAGTAATAAAAATCTCTTGCCTTTGAAACTGTAGGTAATCTGTAATGTGTTCCATCATAATTCACTACTATTCCTCTTGGAATCTCCCATCTGAACTGGATTTGGCAACGTTTTAACTCATCAGACAAAAAGGTAAAATCTTTTCTGCCTCTTAGAATTTTGGGAGGTATTTCTTTTAAAATTATCACATCTTGGGCTGCAATTTGAAACCTCTGTTTATAAAAAAACTGTATAATTTCATTGCGAATAGATCTTCTAGAAAAATAGATGACCAATCTCTTGGTAGGTTTCTCTGTCTAGCAACCCATGAGTTGACTCTA